AAGCAATACAAGACAGCGTTGAGTTGTCATAAATCATAAAGATTCTAGATGGTTATGTCTATCTCATTTTTCGGTCCTAGTGAAACTAACTCGAACTTGAATTATCGTAAACACCCAGTGAATCATCAATGACTCTTCCATTATGGGTTTGTTCGTTTTAGCTACACTGGGGCTGCTCTGGGTCTGCTCTACACAGGATAATACAGGACAGATAAATAGTTTGTCCTGTATTATCTTGTTTAGAGCAGACCCAGAGCTGCCCCAGTGCAGCTAAAACGAACAAGCCCTATGACTCTTCCTATTTTGACACTTTTTACAATATCGCTATCAATCGTCATATGCAATTATGCAATCGCATGGAACGCATAAGCTGCTGCAACTCAAACTTGAGGTAGCTGATGCGTGTATTATGCGCTGCAGGTGGTGGGGATCTAGGGAATTCTAAGCGCTGTTCATGCGCGCATTGAGTGAAACGGAACGTTTTCTATGGGTGTTTACGATAATTCAAGTTCGAGTTAGTTTCACTAGGACCGAAAAATGAGATAGACATAACCATCTAGAACCTTTATGATTTATGACAACTCAACGCTGTCTTGTATTGCTTGAGTTAAATTAATTGAATTTGTTGAGTTTATAGAGCAAATTTTATTGTAATAAAAAAATGTTAACTGCAAATCAGTCTATGAAAGAAACAAATAATGTTGGTATGTATGTTGGTATACCTCTTTAATAGATATAATTATATATATATGTATATAATTTTATATTTATTAAACTCAACAAATTCAATGAATTTAACTCAAGCAATACAAGACAGCGTTGAGTTGTCATGAATCATAAAGGTTCTAGATGGTTATGTATATCTCATTGTCGGTCCTAGTGAAACTAACTCGAACTTGAATTATCGTAAACACCCACTACTATTACTGTCACTCATTTCATCAATTAAAAACATTGTCACATTGATAGCGCAATTTATTGTGGAATCCATTTTGATTTTCCACTTCTAATGCGTTCAATATCGTTCCGTTTCAAAGCATGTATCATGCGCATAATGAAACGAAACGCAGCCAATACGCTAAGCATTAGCGATGCGAACGATGCGTGCTATGCGCAAAACGGAACGCAACCAATGTCATTTTGTGTGTGATGGCCTAAAATCTGCATTGCGTTCAGCCCCACTCTCGTCATAATATCAGCAGAGTGGGAGAAAAATCTGGATTCAACCAGTGATGCGCTGTCGTGGGATTTTTTCTCGTACGGAACCTCCGTGCGCATGCGTAAGCTGACGTCACAGCTAGACGTCGGCTGCTACCCAACACCATCTATAGAGGCCTCTCCACTGAAATCATGACGTCATCACTAGTAGGCCATTTATTTGTCAGTTTTCTAACGTAACCTTGTGTTTCATGCGACATTAACGTGAATTTTTTAATAGTGTAGTGTGTTTTGATAAGAGTTTTTTGTTATGGATAGTTGATGAATGCCTTTATTATTGAGATAAGTCATAATTTTATTAATTTACCGAATTATGAACGTATTTAGAAAACTGACCATAATAGGTTAGATTTGGATCATACTTCTTTATTATTGAAATTATGTATTTCTTTTATAGCAATGCCTTTCAAATGTTGTGTGCCAAATTGTAACGGCAATTACAAAAATGTTAATAATAAAAATTACACATACACTCTCTAACATCCTTTTAAAGAATTACACAAAAAGACAAAATGATATCATAAGAAGAAAAACAATGCCAGGCTGCAAAAGAATGAAACCATAAACTAAAGCTGTTTTATTATTTTATTCAATAAAGTAATTTAAATTACTTTATTAAATATAATAATAGTAAATTCTTTGAATAAAATAATAAAACAGCTTTAGTTAATGGT